CAGAGGTCACAGAATATCGCGATATTATAAAGGGGCTACCAGGTCACACACTGAAATTGAGCGGGATTCACAAGGCAGTAGTTGCACTAAAAAAAACGGTATCACATACGCAGTATGATTGTCCTCTCTTATCGTTCCGGACGCTTCCGCTGCCCATCGAGTACCTAGCTCATCACATTTCATGAGTCACAGTCACGTCACGCTGCGTCACGCGGCGCGGCCACCCACCGGGCGAGCACAGTCCAGGCGTGGTGGGGCGCGCCACGGCGCGACCCCGGCCGCCGGCGGCACAGCTGCCGCGGAACCCGCGCGCCACCGCCTGCCGGCCGACCGGGCAGCCGACGCCAAACACCTCCGACTCGGGCGCGCGCAGCTCCGAGATGTGCGTGCCCAGGTAGTGTCGCACCCCGGCCTCGAGCTGCGATTGGTACTGCAGGTGTACCACCTGGGTCACGGGGGGGGGGGGGAAGCCCGGCAGGACAGCGGTCAGTGTGGGACGGTACATCGCCGGGACAGTCCATAACGACCAACGCTCATCGCCGGGACAGTCCATAACGAACAACGCTCATCGCCGGGAGAGTCCATAACGACCAACGCTCATCGCCGGGACAGTCCATAACGACCAACGCTCATCGCCGGGACAGTCCATAACGAACAACGCTCATCGCCGGGAGAGTCCATAACGACCAAGTTATCGCATGTATGGTAGTGTGCGAAAAACCGTTGCTTAGCTATTCGCCAAAAGAAAACACTCCAGGCGGTGAGTGTACTTACATACAGCATTTGGTAGCGTGGGCCGCCGCGATATTACCTGGTCGACGCGCCGCAGAAGAGCGGGGTCCCTGTAGAGCGCTGTCAGCCGGCCATCACCGGTGCAGGTCACCGCCGCCAGCACCATCTGTCGGAGACACGCCGAAACAGAGGTCAGCGGCCGCCAGGTACATACGACGCTGAGACGCTCGACGTGTAATAGCGCGGTGAATGTTCCGGGCCGAAAAGGATTATCAAATGAACTATGTTCCATGGTTCTACTTAGTAACACTGAATCATGTTTCGGTGTTACATGTGGTATTTGCCTTTATCCTATCAGCGTCGCTAAAAAAGAGCAAAGGATCATCATATTCACCAACAAAGTCTGCTTACCTTTCTGACGCCGGGCGTCGGATCGTGAAGGCAAAACTCGTTGCCGAACCGAAAACGCACGCCTGATGAAATAGGCACCTCTTCAGTGTCGGACAAAATCCAATGGAATCTGGCGGGGAAACGGCGCAATTCTGGTGACTTTTCCACCTTTTCAACATTAGATGATTGTATTTTTTAAACTTGCAAACTTATAGGGGTGACTTTACGTTCAAAACACGGATGAAGTTTTAAGTTTTAAAATGAAGTTTTAAGTCTCTTAACCCGCGCGGGGCTGGGGTCTCCAGCCGAACGCGCGGGGCTGGGGGGGGGGGGGGGTAAATTTTACCCCCCCTGTTATCTCCCGAACTAATGGTCCGATTTGGAAAATTCAAACGCCAATCGAAAGCTCTCATCACGAACTACTAAAAACATGTACTTAATTTAAAGTTTGAGGTCAAGGTCAAGGTCAGGTCAAGGGTACCTACACATTGCAAGTTTCTACAGTATCGGCCTTGCACCGTAGTTGCCGAAGAATGGAGTCATGGACTGAGACTGATCGCCCAAAACGTGTTCTTAGGCTACCAAGACAATATTCGTTGCATACAATATCATTCAGAGGTCAAGGTCAAGGTCAGGTCAGGTCAGGTCAGGTCACCAAAAAACAAAATATAGAAAAGGGCATGTGCGACACATGTTTCATGGGTCATTTTACTCATAGAATTCAATAGGCACACTCAATAAGTGATATGGACCACCTCTGGATGAATTTCAGGTCGAGGTCAGGTCAAGGTCAGGTCAAGTGAGGTCAAATTTTGAAGTTGGTTATTAAGGCCTAAAAAGGTGTCTATCTGATGCAGTTTTTCACGGCGAATCGAATGGTGCTATTTTTGTTTCCGTACGAGGTCTAGAACTTCCAAAAAAGTCATTTTTCAAAAAAATTGTGTGTCGTGACGTCATAAAATTTTGAATAACTCCCACATTTTGAACCGATTCTTCTAAAATTTGGTATGTAGGTGCACATAGACCACTTCTCTGACATATATTCCGGTTTTTTAGATAGACTTAAAATTTTGGATTTTATAATGATTTTCCCAAAAAAGTCAGTTTTTAAAAAATTTAGGCCAAAATCAAAAAATTTTCAAAAAACCGAGATAACCATTTCATAGACAAAGTAAAATTACGCATAACCTTTTTTGTTACGTCTTGATTCCTTTAAAAATGAAGATGTTAGCGGCGTTTGAACTTTTGCCGTTTTTGAGGCGAAAATGGCGAACATGACGTCACTAAAACGTCAATTTCTCAAAAATTTTCCGACGGATTTCGCTCAAATTTTCAGGAACGTGTCAAATTGATGTAAGAAAAGGTACTGAAAGTTTGGCGGCGCTGCGCGCCGCCGTTTTTGAGATATCGCAAAAATTCGCGAGGGGGGTAAAATTTACCCCCCCCCAGCCCCGCGCGGGTTAAGTTTTATTATTATCGTGTTTATATCTTGCCTGAAAATATTCGTTTTTAAGAAAAAGAGTCGTGACAAAGTTAAACTAAATAAATAAAAATCAGCTGAAGTTGGTGGGGCAAAACGCTTATTGGTGGGGCAAAATGGCAAGTTGGTAGGGCAGGCGCCCCACCAACCGAATAGGAAGCTCCGCCCCTGGAGTGCAGCTATGTATATGAGTGATAACATATCTATCAGTGCTGGTTATATTGAAAGGACCATTAATTTTCGTGCACATGTGCATCAAACATGATAAGTTCTTCCAAAAAAACACTGGAGATAACATTTTCGAGAAACGTGGCAACGTCACCCCGCTTGGCAAAGTCACTCCCGTTTACGGTGCCTAATTGGCTAGCTAATAGCTTCTATAACCCTCTCGCTCTAGCATGGCAATGGCTGGGCCGATAAATGAGAGAACGAGGATGGGACGCTGGGCTGACTGCTGAGGCGGCTGGGTTTCCTTCCCCGTTGGTGCACCGTCAACCGCTGCGGAGCCGGAGTAGGTGTCGGAGTCAGAGTCGATTTTGGAAGTCGATGACGTAGTCAACCCGGAGTCACTCCATCGACTCCGTGCCCCGTCGCCAACATATGCCTATTGCCTTTTGCCTATATTACTCTGCGGGGAAGGCTGCACAAAATATTTTCAGTTCAAGCACATTGTACACCCATTTTCTGGAGCCCGAAGAGTTATGGAATGTTCGATATTAGGTACTGCCCTTACCCTGCGTGCTCGTTTGCTGAATGGTGAAGTTCTTCATTGAAATAAGCTCTTCTTCTCGTCCAGCAGTCGTATCTCCTCTACCACCTTTGGGAGGCGGTTTTATCAGGCTGTACACAATCTGTGGATGATGGGGGGGGAGGGAGGGTGGGAGAGAGAGAGAGAGAGAGAGAGAGAGAGAGAGAGAGAGAGAGAGAGAGAGAGAGAGAGAGAGAGAGAGAGAGAGAGAGAGAGAGAGAGAGAGAGAGAGAGAGAGAGAGAGAGAGAGAGAGAGAGAGAGAGAGAGAGAGAGAGAGAGAGAGAGAGAGAGAGAGAGAGAGAGAGAGAGAGAGAGAGAGAGAGAGAGAGAGAGAGAGAGAGAGAGAGAGAGAGAGAGAGAGAGAGAGAGAGAGAGAGAGAGAGGAGAGAGAGAGAGAGAGAGAGAGAGAGAGAGAGAGAGAGAGAGAGAGAGAGAGAGAGAGAGAGAGAGAGAGAGAGAGAGAGAGAGAGAGAGAGAGAGAGAGAGAGAGAGAGAGAGAGAGAGAGAGAGAGAGAGAGAGAGAGAGAGAGAGAGAGAGAGAGAGAGAGAGAGAGAGAGAGAGAGAGAGAGAGAGAGAGAGAGAGAGAGAGAGAGAGAGAGAGAGAGAGAGAGAGAGAGAGAGAGAGAGAGAGAGAGAGAGAGAGAGAGAGAGAGAGAGAGAGAGAGAGAGAGAGAGAGAGAGAGAGAGAGAGAGAGAGAGAGAGAGAGAGAGAGAGAGAGAGAGAGAGAGAGAGAGAGAGAGAGAGAGAGAGAGAGAGAGAGAGAGAGAGAGAGAGAGAGAGAGAGAGAGAGAGAGAGAGAGAGTCAGGCACTAAGCACTTGGGCAATGGGCAGTAGGTAGGTAAGCACGAGTAGGTACCTATTAGAGTGAATGGCAAAAATGGTGAGATGATTGATAATTATAAACCGATCTTGGGAATAGGGGAGAGCGGGGAGAGTTGTATCATGTCCAAGTTGTATCAGGGCGAATTGTGCCAAACTTATCCAATAGATAGCGCTCGTGACACGACCAGCCGACGAGGTTTTCCGGGCGCCATCTTTCCCTGTTCTGTCGTGTGGCTGGGTGGACGCGTCTCGGGGTGAGAGCCGATTTTATATTTTTTAATGTCATTCTAGAAAAATGAGTTGCAAGAAAATGTGTGTTTTGGGCATTTAGATGTGCACGAATTTGAAAGATCTCCGTAGCGGTGGTGAGGGTAGGTTCTAAGGCTGCGTGAGTGAAAATGGATTTCTCCAGCTGTCCGCTGTTTTTGAGCACGAGGATGTTTTTTTCCAAGATGGCGGCGAGGTACATGTTGTATCAGAGCCGGGTGGGGTATGTTGTAACATGTATGTATGTATGGGCATGTTGCTTTTGATCGCGAAAGCTAAGCCCTGTCTCGCGTTTGTAGGTAGCTAGTCAATACTCGTTCCATTTCGGCACAATGTGTTGGCTTCTTTGCTCTTAACGGGCCACTTTTGCATCTAGTCTGTTGATGTTTCGTTCGTTTCGATGTTTCGTTCGGATTGCATTGACCTAAGTTTGGTCTAATAAAAGTGAAGCCTTTGATTGAGCATATACATTGTATTAACCCCATTTAATGTTGTTATCTTCAAAACCAGTAGCAAGCACACTCCCTGAAACGTGCAATACCTAGTGATACAAATTACCCCACCATGTGATACAACTCACCCAAGCAATGGGGCAAGTTGTATCAAAAACATTGCTCCATTCGGCAGACCGTAGAAGAAAAACTGGTAGAGGTAGCGGAAAAGTTACTTTGCACAAAAAAGCAGAAGAATCAAGGAAGGAGATAGTATGGAAATAATGAGTTTATCACGGATAGTTACGAGGTTATGGGTCTCGGAGTAAAAACTGATACAACCCACCCCACTCTCCCCTATTATTAGAGCTATGGCTTGCATGGGTAAACAGTGGCGGTGGGACACCTTCAATTAACTGTTACGCGATGTTTGTGAGTGTTAAGGATGACTTTTTTTCAAAAGAAGCACTGTTAAAGTTTCTCTTACTGACTTATCACAAATTTTGACCTGACCCAAAGTCACTGGTATCGAAATTCCAGACATGGCTGTTGAAAGGTACAAAGTAATGATGTCAATTACGGAAAATCGTGATACTGATACCAAACCAAATGCCAACAGTAAACGTGGGAAACTACCGAAACCGAATGGACTTGAAATTATTTGGGAAATAGGTACCAACTTTTTGCCAATTTCTCAGCCTCTTACACATTAGTGAGTGTTCATAATACCAACAACATACCAAACACATTAGGATTGAAATACCAAATAACGGGTGGTCAGTATGAAACTGGACAAAGTTTGAATTGTTACTGTCGAAAGTTTTCAAGCGAAAGCAGCGAAAATCGCGTTACCGTGCCATTATTTTGTTGTGATCACGCTCGCCCTAATGGATGTGCGACACTGGACCTCTGTCAGCCTCCAAGCGCACGCGCGCTGGCAGCCCCGCTATGGTCTTTCGCGGCACCTCTGGGTCGATTTGACGGATGGCCTGCTGGATTCTTCGCTTCTATTGTGCGTCTCAGCTGACCTGCCACCTTCCTTTATACACTTTCTGTTTGATGAGCCCCCACAGATCATCAATGGGCTGAGGGGTACATAGCGGGTTCATGTCACGTGCTATTTCGGGCACCCTAGCCTCCTCAAGAAGTTTCGTGCTCTAGCGCGCGTACTGTGACTGTTGCAAGGTCGGCACCTAACAGAGCATCATGCTCTGTGTTCTCGAAACTCAAGAAGTGGTAATAACACGCCATTCAAACACTTTTCATAGCACAGTTCGCCCGTTACATTGCCTGTGCTCGGCAAATAACTGGACGCGCGAGCCCCTCGGACTCATGGCAAGCCAGACGGCATCTCGGGTGGATGCTTGCTGTCAGGTCGAAAGCGAAGGTGCGATCCACATGTGGAATAGTGTCTCCACCAGCTGAGATGTAAAATTTGACAATGAAGGCATTTGGCTGCCACTGCGGGTGAAATAAGATTCATCGTCCATATGCACCTCCATGTTTTTGCTACCCTGCATTGGACCATGTGACAGACGGCGCAGGCGGGTTTTCTGCGAGCGAAATTGTGCCTCCGTCACCTTTATCCTATTTTTGTACCAGATTCCTGCTTGTTGACACATTAAGTGGTCATATGTTTTGAAGATTCCAAAGTTCATTCCCAAAGATCACAAGGAGAGCCCCAACTGTTCGGTGACGGCACCTGTTTGTTTCTGCCGGTGCTGAATGAGCCTTTTCTTGGTGATCTTGCCGTTCCCACCATGCAAAACATCTGCAAGTCCTCAGAATTTATCGATGATCACATATTCTTAAGATCTGGTTACACCCTATGGCGTAATGTGACGTATAATGGTAACATTTTTTCGTAATTTGTGTTATTTTCACAAACTTGCGCGAACAGGTCCTGGAACGCTTGCTGACTCACCGGCGCAATGTTTACTATTGTTTACTATAGCAGAAAGTTGAAATCTGAGCTAGTAATATAGAATAACTGGAAGTATTCACCTGCCAAAAATAATTAAAATCTGTCCATAATTGGAGATGCTATGCTTGATCAAATTTTGTCCAGTTTCATACTGACCACCCGTTACCAAGTGGTATCGGTTTGGTATCGGTATACCAAAAAGTTGGTATCAGATTGCCATCTCTAGTATAAAGCAAATCGTTCTGTCGGTGTAGCTAAGGCGAATAACGTCACTTGACGTGACTTGGTGACCTTCCAGTGCTAGTGATCTGAACTTAGCGACCTGGGTCTAATTCCACTGAGCACGGAAGCAGTCTCGATCAGGAACACCGTTGAATGTCTCACCACTGAGCCCGGAACAGTCATTCACCATCTGGCGCGTTTCACGACAAATCGACAAATAAAAAATTAAATTTGCACCCTCATATTTTATTCTTCGTTGGAAACTGGTGTAAGGGGTTGTGATGGGCGGGGAAGCCAGCTGTGGCAGATTTTTTTTCTTCGAACAACGTTTCCGAGATATAGCCTCGGGCAATTCCTGGAGTTCGCGCTGCAGCCCTATATTTGGCGGCCTATAACTCAGAAACTATTGGTTTTTTACGATAAAAAACTTTACATGGTTCAACACACAATCAACCAACAAACATTTTGGCTATCTCGGATTTTCAATTTTTGAAAATTTTGATCACGTGACCTTTTGTCCTATTTTTCGAAGAGTGACCTTGATATTTTCCCCACTGAAAGTTGCAACTTTGTCTGATGACGATTAAAGCCTTATCAAGTGTCATTCATATGCGATAATAAAAAAGTGGTTATCGCCGACGCCCTGCGTTGACCTCAGGTCAGGTCATTTTTATGACCTGTCCATTATTACGAGCGGGAGCGACAGCGAGATCTCGAGAATAAAGCAAGATAGCGACAAGCGGTAAACGGTAAAGGGTACACACGGATAAGGTCTATAATTTTTACTGAGGTCATTTTCAGGTCAGGTCAAAGATGACGTCACAGGAGCTAAAAGGAAGTCAAAATAGCGGCACTATACATATATATGAAGTTTTTCTCGAATAACTTTCAAGGTATCCCAGCTAGGAACAAACTAATGGCACCATCGTGATCCTCTCGTCGATCCGCATCGAAACATATATATTTTGACCTCGAAAGGTCGAAAGGTCAAAAGTTGACCCTAGGTCACGTGATCTAAGGTCAACTTTTGACCTTTCGACCTTTCGAGGTTAACATACATATGTTTCGATGCGGATCGACGAGAGGATCACGATGGTGCTATTAGTTTGTTCCTAGCTGGGATACCTTGAAAGTTATTCGAGAAAAACTTCATATGTATATATGTATAGTGCCGCTATTTTGACTTCCTTTTAGCTCCTGTGACGTCATCTTTGACCTGACCTGAAAATGACCTCAGTAAAAATTATAGACCTTATCCGTGTGTACCCTTTACCGTTTACTGCTTGTCACTATCTTGCTTTATTCTCGAGATCTCGCTGTCGCTCCCGCTCGTAATAATGGACAGGTCATAAAAATGACCTGACCTGAGGTCAACGCAGGGCGATAACCACTTTTTTTTATTATCGCATATGAATGACAATTGATAAGGCTTTAACCCTATTCCTGGCGGGCTCCGCCGGGGCAAGAAACTGGCGGGGGGGGCGATTCGGCCCCCCCTTCAGATCTCAAAAACTACACATCGCAGCGACAAACGGCGAACGGCGTTTGATAGGTCGATTAAAGATCTACAACTTTTACATAAAACATTTTCAGGTCAGGTCAATATTGAGGTCACCAGAGGTCATCAACGATAAAATGTTTTGGAATTAGTTACCTATATAACTTTTAAACTAAGAAACATAGAGACATAAAACCAATACATTTTTTGTTGCTCTCGCCGAGGCGATGCGAAATAAGTATGTGATGACCTTCACAGGTCAATTTGAAATTTGACCTGAGGTCAAGGTCAGGTCATTCATCAATGAGGTTGTGGTCATGCTGCATACCAAACGACGCGCCTTGACCAGGCGAGCAGTTTGGTACCACTTACAAGTCTTTAGCACCATCATGTCGTGATTTATTTACAGAAAAACGATTTATGACGTCACATGACCTCAGATGACCTTTGCCGGTGCCCCTGTCAATTAGCGGCACCAGGATCATCACCGATGAGATAATCTTCCATAATACTGAAAGAATTGGTTGGTTTTGACTCGTTTACACGAAGCAGGAGGCGTTTCAATATTTTCCCATAGGCTTGCAATGTAAAGGTCACGAGTCTGGCCTGACCTCAGGTCACAGATATGAAAATTCTGAGATATACAAATTGCACATACTGGTACCCTAACTAAAGCCTGAAGAGAAGACATTGATCGGTCAAAAACTCTAGCTCTGGCGTGATTGCAAACTTTTCTGAGGTAGGGTCACCAAACCGCCTCTGGTGACCTGACCTGAGGTCAGATCAACTCAAAATTTTCAGAAATGTTGCGTAAAAGCCTTTTAGTAAAAGTCAGAAAATTTGAGCTTCCTAGCTCAAAGCGTTTGGGAGAAATAACCAAAAAACCTCAGGGGGGGCTCCTGAGGCCCCCCCCCCCCGCCAGGAATAGGGTTAATCGTCAATCGTCATCAGACAAAATTGCAACTTTCACTGGGGAAAATATCAAGGTCACTCTTCGAAAAATAGGACAAAAGGTCACGTGATCAAAATTTTAAAAATTGAAAATCCGAGATAGCTAAATGTTTGTTGGTTGATTGTGAGTTGAACCATATCAAGTTTTTATCGTAAAAAAAAACAATAGTTTCTGAGTTATAGGCCGCCAAACATAGGGCTGCAGCGCGAACTCCAGGAATTGCCCGAGGCTATATCTCGGAAACCGTTGTTCGAAGAAAAAAATCCTTGCCACAGCTGGCTTCCCCGCCCATCACAACCCATTAGACCAATTTTAAGCAAAAAATAAAATATGAGGGTGCAGGGCACTTGTCGATTTGTCGTGGAACGCCCCATCTAGCGGTGCGAGTGAGTCGTCTCTGACGAATCGTGCCACCATTGTCTCACCAGAGACGACTCTGCTGTTTTCCCCGCTGCGGCGCCACGGCCGATATACGGCCTGGTTATCAGGCGGTACACAGCCGGCTGTGTGCAGCGCTGACGCAGAGAGCTGTATCGCGCCCAGCCCCGGACCGGGGCTCTGCTGACGCGGTGCTCAGCAAACGACGGCTGCACGATAGTCGCCGGTCCGTGTGAAGGTCACACAGGGACGGCACATGGCCGAGCACGGAGCGGGCCTGGGGTGCATATACCAGGTGGACACAGGGAATAGGAGCGGGACGGGACGAAACGGCCGACCGTGGCAGAACCGACCTTGGTGGGAAAACGGCCGATAGGGGGATAGGGGACGGCGGATTGGTTGGCACCTGTTGAAGAGTTTCGTTTTCATGAATATTGCATTTAATATTTCGTTTTCAGCCGTACTATTCTACTGTTTAGGTAAGTAGAAACGCATTAACCCTCGCCGGACCTATTGGTTTTCTACATACCTACGCGCCGCGGCCGAGGGGGGAGGCGGGTACGACCCCCCTCGCCGTTTCGCCCCTGGTGGAGCTAGCGCGTCGCGGAAAAAAACGAGCGTGTGCGCCGTTACGAGACACAGAGATTGATACCCGATTTTAAGGTCCTAGGTCAACTGGTGACCTCTGAGGTCAGGTCAATGCCCCAAGGTACGGTTCCGTTTTTGGTGAATAGCTTCGTAAAAACGGCCGCAGAGCCGCGATTTTGGCAGCATCGTGTTCGTCTCGCTCAGACGCGTCGAATGATATACTTTTTGTTTGGGTGAGGTCAACTTAGGGTGTTGACCTCAGGTCACGGTCAGGTCAGCTCCCCAGGTCACGAAGTTGGTCGAAGTAGGTCATGTCGCATATTATTCGATTCGGTAGGTCTTTCTGAGTCCGTTGGTGGCTTTCCCGACTCGCTAGCTCAATTTGATCGGGAGTTGTTGGCGAAGAACTAATATGACGCTCATGACGTCAAAACGATACATCAGCATATGCAAGCAAAGTTATTCCGCTGAATAAACTAACCCATTGCAAAAAAAAACACTGTTTCCAATATTTTTCTCATCTCTTTACCCGACAGCAACAATGCATCGCAATCAAGACCCTTTGGAATTTAAGACATGTTTACATGTAAAAATGGTACCTATGGGCGTTTTAGAAACCAGGGCCCAATCTTACCAAATGCTGTGTGCTACATGGTCTAGAATGGCTACAAATTGAGCTTAAAAATTCGACGTCATCAATTTTGAACAGTTTTGTCGCCATAACCTGGCCAAAAAAAGAGCTATCGATCTCAAATTTGGTATCTAGACGGGAGACTCTAAGGGCTATAACACATACTTTGTTTTTTTTTTCTCGAAATTTTGATAATTTCTTGGATTTTTAAGAGGCAGCCATGACTGATGACACATTGAATCGGTCGACAAATATCTTACTGGGATTTATGGTTCCACTGTGTCTTGACAACTTGAAATCGCTGTATCTATTCTTAACCCTCGCACGACCAGGCCATTTCTCATAACACGAACGACCAGGGGGGGGGGGGGGGTTGTTACGACCCCCCCCTGGCGTTTCGAAACGGAAGGTCGTAGAGCTTAGCGGAAAAAACCAACGGATTGCTCTCAACGAGATCTCGCGATTGGTGGTATATTTTTTGGTCCTAGGTCAACATTTGACCTACTTATGACCGGTCAAAGGTCAAATTTTCCGAAAAAATCCAACTTTTTCAACTTTCCGCGGCGATTGCGGCAAACCGGTGGGAGATATCGACTTGAAACCTTCACTATCGTGTTCCTTGATCAATTCTCTATCGTTTGGTATGTATTTTGTTTCCCTAGCTCTAAAAATGGCGCGTTGGGAGCGCCGGAAGTCGGCAAGGTCACAGTCGGCGGCAGAAATTCGAAAAAATCAAAATTTAAATTTTTGAAATCTGATTGTATTTTTGGATTTGGGAGGTCCATTTGCTCCCTATAGAAGCTAATATTGCTGCATATTCCCATTGAGGTGACAAGAATTAGCAAAATAGTGGTTCGGGCGCTTTTCAAAAATAGTACCGGACGCTGTTCCTCTTGTGACGTCATAGCTCCGTGACCTGACCTGACCCGGTCAATTTTCTTGCACTACATGATAGCCAATGCTTGCCCCAACATGCATGGGAAGTTTCATCATGATCCATCAAACAATGTGGGTATCACCGGCAGAAAACCTAGGGATTCGGCGCACACGTTTGGTAACTGTCGGCCGGAGGCTGTACCTCTTATGACGTCATAACTCCGTGACCTGACATGACCCGATCAATTTTTTTCGGCAAAAGATGAGCAAAGGTTGCCCCAGAGGGTATTGAAAATTTCAGCCCGCTACGACAATCCGTTTAGCGTGCACTTCGAAAAAACCTCAGGGGGGGGGGGGGTGATACAACCCCCCCCCCCTAGGCGTTCTAGGGTTAAATAGTGTTAGCAGTCTAAGCAAGATCAGCAGGAGCAGATCCCAAACATTTTCTTTGAGCAATGCAATACCTATGTTCGCTTGAAGCATAGGCTTATTTTGCATGGCATCTGAAATTTCTTTTTGCTCAGCGCATTCGTAATGTATCGCCTATCTACCTACCTACATTCTACACTACACATTGAAAGCAGTTTAATCTGTCATACAAAACCACCATGGCCATAACAAAAACGACTGTCTGGGCAAAGAACAAAAAAACAATATATTTTGATCCAGACCGAACGCAATCACTGTGCCTGCGCCATTGGATGTTAACTGACCGCTGACGGCTGTGCCATGGAACGAGGGATCAATGCAATCTTCTCGGAGAGGACCGCTCAGACACCGTGGAACTGGACACGGAGGTCGGGGGGACTGCTGCGCCCCCCCCCCCCCCATACACACAGGCGACACAGACAGGCCGCCGGCCTAAAAGACAGGCCGCGGCGGTCGAGCTGACCTTCAGTGACAGCTTGTCTTGCGGACAAGAGCGGGTCTTCCTGCTCCGCTGCTCTGGTGCGTCTTTTAGCCGAGTCTTGTGCGAAGGCGTCTAGCCGCGAGAGCGGGCGCTCCTGCTCCGCAGCCATCCGTTCGAACGCGTGGGTACAGCTCACAAAGCGCAGCACCGCGTACAGGACCGAAAAGACAGTGGGCATGTGTAGACAGGTAGGGCGCATTTACTGCGGTACCCATGTCTATGTAGACACGACGGAACGATCGCGATATCACCAAAGAGCGTTACCTCACGGATAGAGCATCTGTTCTGTCGACAGACAAAGCTAGCAAATGAGCAGCCTGTCTCATATCCGTTGTGACCTGCAGCTGAATTGAATGTCTCTGCGAGCATAGCAAAGCTCGACTTGCTCGAGAGAGCAGAAACAGCAGACAGAGCACATATACTCGTATGCCTAATGTTTAGTCTATCACAAAGAGGCAGAGCGACGGGAACATTTGGCATACCGGTTTTCTTTTCATAAACAAGTGGTACAACCATAAAGCAGGAGAGTGTTAAGTGATCGCTAACGTCGATCGGAGCGATTATACCAATCAGTTTTTAAATGTATAGAGAAAATATACGGCACACTTTAAGAAAATGGGGCCAAAACGTGCATCATTCAATGCATTGCAACTTTGCAAGTACGCCCGAAAGAAACAAGTGTGAAGGGAGTTACCTTCCATATTTTGATTAGTTATTTGACGATCGTGACCAGCGAATGGAGCAAAATGTAGCCCAATGCCGATCCGCTGATGCAGAGAAGGATTTGAATGTAAAGGAAAACCTACGATACAATGACGGTAGCCGGCTCAGAACTGTTCGTAAAGATCTCCAATGTGAGCAAAGTAGGGCAGGAATATATAGATACCTCATGAACGCCAACAGAAGTCGCACTGCAGCATACTTCTCGTCGCTGCTAATGTTTCTGAACTAAACAAACCATCGCTTAACATTTCTGGCATTAATGCGTTATAACGTTGACTGTTAAGAACCGAGAGTAAATTCTAATGACGACCATGGGCTCAAAATGCTGACTGCTCAAAGACTTCATTGGGATGATCACATCCAAACAGGTTCCATTTAGTGATGGGTTATGATGGCCTCCGTCTGCGACAGGCTGCCCCCTGTCGTCAGACGGCCGCCGCGTGTACCGCTCAATGGTAGGTGACGGTGGTGGTGACCACGGTTTTGGCACCACGCCCCTTGGACTGGGCGCGGTGGCGTTGCGGTGGCTTTTTGTTGCCTGGGGGCTTGTTCTGGTCGGCTGCCGGCTTGCGCCCGGGCCTGCTGGGTGGTTCAGCCTTTGCCGCCATGAGCGGCTGGGGCACGGTGGCGGCGCGGCGTCGCTCGGCCTCCAGCTGTCGCCGGGCGCTGCGCGTCTCCTCGTCGTGTCCGTCGAACCACTCGGCCACCGTGTCGTCGATGACCAGCGAGCGGACGGCGGTGGCGATCGGCGCGCGGCACAGCGGGCACGGCTGCCGCTGGCGCTGCACGTCGCGCACGCAGCCCTCGCAGAAGGTGTGCGTGCAGCCCAGCGTGGTGGCGCGTACGAACGGCTCGCAGCACACCGCGCAGGTCAGGCTGACCGGGGCGCCGGCGCCGGCCCGCTGCGGCGCTGACGGCGGCGCCGCTCCGCCAGTGGCACCCTCCGGGCACTCGACGGCCGCGGCCTTCTTCGCCGCCGCTCTGGCCTCATACCCTTCACGGATCGTGGCGAACACGTCCTTAGCACCAAGGAGATTGAACTTTTTGAGTATCTCCTTGTTTTGTTCTCCTTTGAAGATGTTGTGTTCTTTGAGACATTGTCCTTTTTTGTCGCAGGTCCCCATAATATAGCTGAAGCACACATGCAGGAAAGGGCATGACGTCTTGTTGCATCCATTTTTGTTGTAGAGTATGCAAGCAACTGGTGCAGTTTGCGACTTGCCTTTCTCAACAGTTTGTTTGTCTGATGAGTGCTTTTCTTCCACCGCCTTCTGTGACTTTTCTTTTTGCTTTGAAGCAGGCTCTTCCTTTTTCTTTGGGTCTGCTTTGTTCCTTTGATTTGCCATCGCCGTATACTTATTATTCAGGCTATCAATAATGGTTTGCTGCTCAGTATCCAGGAGCTTCGCAGCTCTAAGCACTCGGATATTCTGCTCACTTCGCACCAGGTCATGCCCAAGGTGACATTTGCTTCCGAGAGTGCACTTTTTCAAGATAAAGTTCAGACACAGGTGCAGGTTTGCGCAGTTATCACTCCCACATCCAAGAGTGTTGTAGTTGAAGCACACCTGAGGGGTTGTTAAACCATCCGCCTTGTTCTCTTTGGGCTCTTCAGCATCTTTTTTGAATTTTTCCGCCAGCAGTTTGAGTACTTTGGGATGCTGGTTCTCATGGATCCAGCCGTTGGCCTTCAGCACTGACTTGTTGTGCATTGTGGTAAGCAGGTGGGTTCGACTGCACTTCTCTCCAAACCGACAGCTCCCGGTGGCATAGTAAAAGCAAATATGAAATTCTCGACAGTCTTCTCGATAGCATCCGCCTTTGGCCGAGTTGAAGTGGCGGCAGATTCCTGGGACAGTCCTGTCGTCCGGCATCGTTTCACCAAGAAGTAGTTACCTGAAACGGTTCGGTCCATTAGCAATCTCACAGAGCGACACAGACGCATCACGCATCACTTTGTGCCCTCGCCCAGCATCATAGGTAATCTACGACACCAAACACATAGGAACCCGTTCATTTGTTGGCTCAGCTGATGAAAATCATAAATTTTAATTTTATTTTAATGTTTTGAATGTACCCGGGCGCTTTTACGTTCCTCTAAAATACCCTGGAAGTGGAATTATAATGTCGAGAGAATTATTTCACCAGTGCGATGCTATTTGGTGCTAGTTTTATTCACAACAAATAATGTAGCCTTACAAAAAGGACTAACGGCCAAGATCCCTACTACAATTCTGCGTCAAGGCGAAATATGCCGTGGTGGCCGACATGATATTTAGAAAGGTTTTTAACCCGCGCCGGGCCGGTGCTCTGAGATTCCGCGCCGGGCCGGGGGGGGGGGGTGTCTGAACACCCCTCCCTTCTAACTCGGCTCCTGGGCCACGTAGCGACACGCAGTAAGCGGCAATCGAAAGAACATCCAAAATAAGGACGAAAACACTTCAGTCATTTTTTGGGTCAGGTCAAAGGTCCGGTCGCCAGAGGTCACCAAAGGTAAAATGTTGACTATTTCAACATTTTGGAAACTGCCAACGGCTATCTCGGGAACCGACAGAGCTACAGCGCCGCGGAAAAGCGCATTCGATAGCCCTTTTACAGACCTTTCTGAATAATGTTCTCAGATTTGACCTCAGGTCAACGGTTTAGCTCCAGAGGGCAAAAACTCCAAAAATAGCCGTTTTTACGAAAAGTGTTTTTTCGGCAATAACTTTTGACTCAAAAGAGCCATGACATTGCTTTTGCCAGCATCGTGTTCCTCTCGTCGAGACGCGTCGAATGAACTACAATTTGACCTTGAAAGGTCAACTTGAAAATTTGACCTCAGGTCAAGGTCATGACCTGACCGGAAAAGGTCATGTTGCATATCAGTCGATCTGCAACGTCGAGCCGAACACATCTAAGGCGTTTTCAGCGTTCTACCACGCCTCTATCAGAAGTTATTAGCGAAAAACTGCTAGATTCTGTTCGTGACCTGAGATGACCTCGGGGACATAACGAGGGGTCACAGTTACCATTTTCCGGTTCAGTGTGTCAATTTTACCTACATCTCGATGTTTGAGAGTGTCTAGAATAGCGTTCGTGCAAAACAGACGCTTTTCAATTTTCTCCCATTGACTTGAAATGGAGAGGCCGCAAAATTGACCTAACCTTAGGTCACCGATATCAAAATTCCGAGATGAACATTTTATAGATAATGTTGCTCTTATCAATCGCTGAAAGTTTCAAGGTAACCGATCAATCGGTGTAGCTATGACGAGCATTGTTATTTTTTCTGAGGTGAGGTCACTTGGCGTGACCTGGTGACCTGACCTAAGGCGACCTGGGTCTGAAATTTTCACAATATGTGCGGAAAAAATGCAGGAACAAATGTGCCAAAAACGGCGCCGCCGTTTTAGAGATCTGCGAAAAACCACGGGGGGGGGGGTGTTCAAACACCCCCGGCCCGGCGCGGGTTAGCTATTAGGTATAGTACAAAGCACCACCAATAATTGTAATCTTGGGCCGGTGTAGACATTTTCAGCAAAAGGAAGCGTCGCAAATAGTTATGTACATATACAAGGCAAGAAGTGCCCGACAGCGAACCCAGAGGACATCTAGGACACGGGATTTGGACCATTTTGGTTTGAGAAGGAGGGCGGAGAGTGAGACAATGAAATTCCAGCGGTACCTACATACATAGCATAGCTTTTAAGCAGGGGTGCGGAGCCGGAGCCGGCATATTTTACCCGGAGCCGCAGCCGGAGCCGGAGCCGTCAAAAAAGGGGCGACTCCGGCTCTTTTTTTTAAGAGATTGATTGACCTAGTTCGGTTTGACAGTGCAAGGCAGTAAAACATGTAGGGTAGCCTGGGGCAAGACGCCCCAGATAATTTATTTTGCTACATAAATTTTGTCCCACATCACCTGGAAGGCCAAATTTGAGCTCAATGCGTTCTTTGGACATTTTACTTTAAATTGCACCCCTCAAATTCATTCACTTATGATCGGACTCCAAGCTAGGAAGTGATTTGTGAAGCAACTGCAAATGGGGCATTTTGCCCCAACCCCAGGGCAAAACGCCCCACGGCCTGGGGCAAGTAGCCCCATACTTAAGATTAAAGATTTAACATGGTAGTTGGCTAAATCTTATGTGAGAATGTGAGTTAGACCTCTGGAGGCACGGCACTGAAGTTAGCACATTCCATCCTGTCAGGTGTTCAGCTATGACACTAATGTATGAGCAGGTTTTTCACCTGCCTCATAAGACTAAATAATAAATTATTGCAATGCAAATGTTTACAAAATACTTCCTTTGCCATCCAGTTGCTGAGAAAAATACACATAAAGGCATAGAAACTTACTGTTCGCCAGCTACCGAACATTAAAAAGTGGGTAGCCCAAACAACACATGAGGTAAAACGCCCCATGGGGCTTTTTGCCCCGCGACCTACTGGGGCGTTTTACCCCATCACGTAGTTCGGTCAGAGAACAACGCCTTGCACTTACTTACTTACTTACTTCCTCGGCGGCAGCTTCGTGGACGAACGGGACCCGAAGCACCGCGCCCATGTCGTCTCAGCATCCCCCGTCCCGCTGATGTCAGCCAGCGTCCTCCTGGAGATGGTCCCACAAGCCAGCTGACACGCCAGCCTTCCAGTCGCTCCTGAGCGGCGAGAGCCTCGCGCCCATCCTCGCTCCAGCCCTCTTCCATGCATCCTTTCGACCTCTGAGCTTCCGTGGCTCTCGAGTTGATTGACCTCTCTGTGTCTTTGCATTAGCAGGTGTCTGACGTCAGAAGCTGAGAGAGTGATTCGACTACTCATTCTGCTTGCGCGCGCTGCCAGTCGATCAGCCGTTTCGTTCAGGTCGATGCCGGCGTGGCCGGGGCAGTAAACCCAGACCGTCTCGCCCCCAGCCATGACCCACCATTCAGGAGGAGACCAGCCGGCTTCCAGTCTACTCAGTAGCGACTGTGAGTCGGTAGCGATGACTAACAGGTCCGCGTCGCGTAGGAACTCCTGGGACTCGGTCAAACCGAGAGTCACAGCCTCCAGTTCGGCACGCATGCTTGAGAGGACGAGTCCGCAGGCACCGGATGAGCAACGGGTGTGCTCATCAGAGCGCAGGAAGGATCCCCAGCCTGTTCGGGCCGGTTCGCTGGTCACAGAGCCATCGGTAGCCAGAATTAGCGGTGTCTGATGCTGATCGACGAGCGATTCCAACAGAGATTCGAATTCCGCGTTCGCCACGCCTGGAGCCCAGTCACGACATGATCGACTCAATGAGTGCTTGCAGATGACAGTCCATCGGCTGGCGACGTCAGAAGGTGTCCGCATGAATTGAGGCCGGTCACGGAGCTGGTTCCTGCCGCGCAGTTCTCGCACGGTGTCGCAGGCCTGCCTCACCCACCCCGGTCTGGCGAGTCGGCGCAGAGGGGCCCTGCGAGTCAGCGACCTGACGGTGGCGCAGAGAGGATGAGATGTCTCTTCGCCGGCTCTTGCAACGGCGTAGACGCGCTGGACCTGGAGCTGCTCAGGAACCGAAGAGACGCCTAGCATGTAGCGCAAAGCCGTGCGTGACGTGTCGCGGGTGCATCCGGTGATGATGCGCAGGGCCGACGTCTGGACGCGATCCAACTTTTCCAATGTGGTGGGACAGGCGGCCACAACCTCTCCGCCGTATGAGAGCCGACTGAAGATAAGGGATCGATACAATGTGAACATGCGCTGCTGGTTTAAACCTTTCCTCTGTGCGGTTTTCAGGGCGCCGAGTGATCGCAAGCAACGGGCCGTGGTTTCCTCGACATGTTTGCTGAAGGTTAAACGCCTGTCCAGTGTGATGCCCAAATGGGTTATCGTCGCGTCAACACGAATGGGCTGACCGTCATATCGGAGGACCGGGACCGGCAGCGGCGTTCTGCTGAGGGACAAGACGCATGCTGCCGCCTTCGCTGGGTTTATCTCCATGTTAGCTTCGCAGCAGGCTACGCGCACATCGTCGAGGACCTCCTGCATCTGATTCGCGACTGTTGGCAGACATCCTCCGGTTCCGCACAGCAGTATGTCGTCGGCGAAGGTGTAGACTGTGAAGTTCGGAGGGACCGGCAAGGTGGCCAGTGGGAGCGTGTAGGCGTTGAAACACACCGGGGAGAGCGGGGAGCCCTGCGGCAGCGCCATCGTCACGGTCGTCCAATCAGAGAGCCATCTGCCACTCCTCAGCGCGCATCGTCTGGCCTGGAGCGCTTGAAGGATCCACCGGACGAAGAAGGGGTCGATACCTAAACTCCTCAGACGTCTGACCAGGATGGGCACCGACACGAGATTGTAGGCGTCCTGAAGGTCCAAGCCGACGATCAAGGCATGTTCCCTGGCTTCGAATGCCTCGGTGGCCTTGTGGACAACTTGTCCAAGGTTCAACCAGGTGGCGCGCCCGGAGCGATAGGCGCCGAGTGTCGGCGGGAGGAAGGCCTCGAGCGCTGCTGACAGCTTCCGGGCGATCATGCTCTCTACCAACTTCCCGCCTATATTCTGGACAGTTATAACTCGGTACCCTCCGAGGCTCCGGTGGTCCTTGCCCGGTTTGGGGATGGGCACCAAGAAACTGTCAGTCCAGTGAGCTGGTATGGTTCCACAGGCAACAGAGGTGTTGATCTCGGCGAGTAGCGATCGTCGATGTACCTCGGTCAGCGCTCTGAAGTCGCCGGCGCGCAGTCGGTCGGGGCCGCACGCCGTGTCGGAGAGCCGCCGGATCGCTTCGTCCAGGTCCTCCGCAGTAAAAGTCGGCGGCTCGGTCGCCTCGCTAATCACCGCGTCCAGTTCCGAACGAGCCTCTTGCCTTTCTCGGAGATCTTGCTGGGAGCATTGGTCGATGAAGCGACCGAGGAAGGCCTCCCCACGCTGCTCCTCGGTCCTCAACATCG